TTAATTATTTAAACATTGCGTACCTACTTTGAAATTTTAGGCTTAACCAAAATATTAAATTAAATTTTAAATGTTTATTTTTTAATTATATTAAGTTTATTTGTCACTTAAAAATTTATACTCACTCTGTTGTGTATATTCCTACATGTAGGTAATTTCATATGGTCGAACCTTTAACAGTCGAGTTTCAATTTTACAAAAAAACCCGCATTATACCCATATTTTTGTTACCGTTTCTTTTAGTCAAATGAACATAGACTGGTGGCTAGTGGATTTTGGGCACGCCCATATTTCAGTTATTAGACATGGGACCCACATCAAAATTATATGACTTTATAATGACATTATATAGACAAGTTCTGCGCAAGCAGAATTTAAATTGAAGTTTGCGAAAAAAAGTTAGTTTTTTAGTGTGCCCCCAGCCTCCTGGCCCAATCAATCAAGATAATTCAAATTAAAGTGGTGCAATTCACTACATTCAGTACAGTTTATCAACAAATTTTAAAATTTATTTAAAAAGTCCAAGTATTACAGATTTTATACCATTTACATTTAGAAATAGAAAAAGTTTAAAATGGTATAAAACCTGTAATACTTGAATTTTTTGAATATATTTGGAAATTTGTTAACAAACTGCAGTGAATTAAATATTGTACCAATTTAATTTGAATAATCTTAATTTGGGGGGGGGGCAGGAGGCTGGGGGGGCACACTAAAAAACTAACATTTTTTCGCAAACTTCAATTTATATTCTACTTGGGCAGAACTTGTCTATATATTGTCATTATAAACTCATATAAATTTGGTATGGGTCTCATGTCTAATAACTAAGATATCGGTGTACCAAAAATCCAAGAGAACAATGATTACAAAAAAGTCACTAACTAAAATCTACGGTAGATTTTATTTAGTGACGTTTTTGTAATCGAAGAGAACAAATCGATTTTAACCGTTGAATAATTCAGTACCTAATTCACGGTTCACCGAACGCCGTTTTTAACGAAAAAAATAGAACAACTTTGAAACATTTTTAAAAAAAATACTTACCAACTAAGTATTCAAAAAAAAGTAAAATGAAAATCTTCCATGTAGATCTTGGCAAATAGCGATCAATTCTTCGTAATTTATGTGCAGTATCGTATATTGCTAATATTTTATCTGTCTCAAAGTTAATATTTGTTTAATATTTTTAATTTGAAAGACTCATACGATAGTAGGAAACTCAAACTTTATTCTTATGAATGCATTATTCAAAATTATAAACGTAAAAATTGATAAACTTTAACAAAAATGTAAAAAACAACAAAATAAATCTAAGCCTACAGATGTTGACTATTGTATGCACAAAGACATCGAAGCAAGTTCATATTATATTTTTCTAAGTTATTTCTGGATAAATTAAAATTCCTGAAAAATATATTGACTGAATAATGAACTTGCTCCGATCTTGCTCTGAGAAGAAACCAAGGGCTCTTTGCGTTTCTTCAATAAATTGAGGAACATGATAAATGAGAGCATGTAATTCCAGCTTTTGATGATTGTAGTTTAAATTCTTTTAAGTAGTCTTTATATTCATCTCCTAAGTTTTAGCCAAAGCAGCCAGAAACTACTTGATTGAACGCCTCAAATACGGGTATATACATTCATTGTCTAAAATAGGAATTATAAATCAGTAGGTAGAAAACATCCAAACAAAGCAAAGTTTTTAATACAGCAATCGACTTTAGTAGTACTCGCGCATTATTGCCATTAAATTTGCCATAATGGTCAAAGCAGATTCCAGCACTTTTCACCCATGCCTCTGCAACTTCTGGATATTTGCTGTTTAGGGAATCAAAAAGTTTTTGTACTATGCCCAGCATAAGGTGAAGTTCTGGTGGTGGAATAAAGAACAAAACTGGGACATCCTCATCCTTTTCTAAAAATGCAATGAACAAAGTAAGATCTTAATTTGTTCATTGCATTTTTAGAAAACTGTATAAATGTTCCATTGATTACCGGCGATGAGGATGCTTTGACTGTTATGGCAAATTTAATGGCAATAATGCACAAAAACTACTAAAGTCGATTGCTGTATTGAAAACTTTGTCATTAGGTAAAAAGCTTTGCTTTGTTTGGATGTTTTCTACCTACTGATTTATAATTTCTATTTTAGACAATGAATATATATATATACCCGTATTTGAGGCGTTCAATCAAGTAGTTTCTGGCTGCTTTGGCCAAAACTTAGCAGATGAATATAAAGACTAAATAAAAAAATTTAAACTAAAATCATCAAAAGCTGGAATTACATGTACACCAAAGATCCATGCTCTTATTTATCATGTTCCTCAATTTATTAAAGAAACGCAAAGAGCCCTTGGTTTCTTCTCAGAGCAAGCATCGGAGGAAGTTCATCATTCATTCAATATATTTTCCAGGAATTTTAATTTATACAGAAATAACTTAGAAAAATATAATATAATTTTGATTCAATGTCTTTGTGCATACAATAGTCAACATCTGTAGGCTTAGATTTATTTTGTTGTTTTTTACATTTTTTTAAGGTTTATCAATTTTTACGTTTATAATTTTGAATAATGCATTCAGAAGAATAAAGTTTGAGTTTCCTACTATCGTATGAGTCTTTTAAATTAAAAATATTCTACAAATATTAACTTTGAGACAGTTAAAATATTAGCAATATACGATACTACACATAAATTACGAAGAATTAATCGCTATTTCCCAAGATCTACATGGAAGATTTTCATTTTACTTTTTTTTGAATACTTAGTTGGTAAGTATTTTTTTAAAAAATGTTTCAAAGTTGTTCTATTTTTTTCGTTAAAAACGTTGTTCGGTGAACCGTGAATTTAATTGATCAAAAGTTTATCTTTCAACTCTAAAACAAAATTTTGCATAAATTCAGTTTTTGTGAAAGTGTTATTTTTTTACGAGGTACCTACCTATGTTTGTAAATTTTAATATTATAATCTGAGGTCACAGATATTGTAATAAGTGGGTAATTAATTAAAATTTAATTTAAAATTATATTTTATCTTGTTCTTGATTGCAGACAGAACAAGCTTAATAAGGTACTTAAATATTATATTCATTATTTTATGTTTAGCCTTATAATATTTACATTTCACTTTGACACAACATATTTAATTGTAATGCAATGTATCATTGTTCTACATATTTCTATTTAATTTGTACATACTTTATTTTATTTGTTTGATAAATTGATATTCTTTATGTTAAGACTTTGTTTTAATTTATACGCATCAACAGACAACGGACTAAAAATATTAGTTTATATACAGCCCGTTCAGAGTAAAACCGAATATATCTATATATATATATGGGGCGTGGCCTCGCCTCCCTCCAAGGCGCGTCACAGTAGCTTGTGTGATAAACGACATGACGAAAGATCGAGCAGGTAAGGACTTAAAAAATTAAATGATAATGCAAAAAATCTCATTAGCGATGCAGGCTATTTGCTTAGCTATTGTGTCGCGTGTTGGAGGGAGGCGAGGCCACGCCCCATATATATTTTATTTTTGGAATCTTTGTTAATTGTTTTTGTTAAGGCCGGTGGGTACAGCCTGCTTTTACAGGCGCACCTAATGGCCCATAATTACCAATTATGGGCCATTATTACTTTATGATATCAGATTTTATTTATGACTGTACGCACATTTTATTGCATTACTATTGTCCACCGCTATACCACTTGTTGTTCATTATGTTGTCTGCGAGTTAATAAAAAAGTTATGGTCCCGCCACTGTTTTTTTTGTGGGTTGGATATAATATTTAGATCAAGCAATTAAAAATACAACCTTTTGTTTCCTTAATTTTTCTCTATCTTAATTTTCAAGAAACAAATTAAATTTATATATTCGCCCACACAAACGAGATTTATTTTCATCTTGAAAAGATATAAAGAAAAAGTGCAAAATACAAAAAAGTTGTAATTTTAATTGTTTAATCTAAAAATAATATTAAACTTTAAAAAAAGCAGTAGCTTATCCAAATTTAATTTTTATAGTATATTATATATCAAGTTTGATAAACGCCATTGTGCTTAAATTAATGAGTGTATAGAAAAGTTTATAAACGAGGTCCATACTATACTTTTTCTACGACAAATACTTATTATTATCTTAAAATGATTTAAATCAAAAATTTGTATAAAGCGCCATCTATGAAACAATAGGGGAATATGTGTGTCACCGTCAAATGTCAAATTTTTAAATTTTATAAACACAGATTATAAAGGTTATAAATCAAAATGTATTTCTTGAAAATTGACAGTTTTTTACAGTGAAAGTAAAGAAAATGTTTTATGAGGACTTTACAGTGGAGTCCGTGCCCGAATTTAAGTTATACTGCCGGCGAAATTAAAAGGTCAGTACAATGTTCATATAAACTTTTCAAATATTGGCGTTGAGAAACTATTTAATACTTTTGTATTTTTGTATTGAGATAATAAAATAATTTTTACATTTAGTATTATTTTACAAGAAAGGCACTTTATTTTAACGATTGTATGACATTTGACAACTGTCAACTAACTTAAAACTAACTTGACTAAAAACCTGTTGCTAACTTCAGCCCGTGACTAAAGCGCCATAAAGCCACAACTTGTCAATGTGTATTTAAAATGTCACTTAGTGTCATGGAAACATGTACGATAAAGGGCGTTTTAAAGGTGGGAGTAGAAAAAATATATTATAAAGTTGAGATGTCCCAGCGCCGCCTTTGGATTAACTAAATTAAATTTTATTACATTAAATTAAGCCTTTTACCCATGACTAAAAACCTGAAATATTTTATTAAATTAGGCAAAGGAGTGGTATTTTTTTCATAACTAAACCACACTGTACCTCAAAAACAAACCTTTACCTTTAAAACATACAAGATCCTATAAACTTTCTTTCTTATTTTTGCGTGTTTTATTATCTACTAAATTATTTCGATTAAAATACAAGTATATATTTAAAAAATTTCTTACCTTTGCAAGCTCCCTTGTAAGCTATAGGTACAGCTTTGCCCTTCCTGCAAGCTTTGGCTCTGAGATGGCAGGCCGACGGGTATGTCAGACCGTCAGAGCCGCAAACTTGCCGCTTTTTTTGAACGTGCATCGGACATTTTTTCATGCAGTTCACGCAATGCGGCGTCAGGTTCTGATCCAGCAGGCAGTGCTTGCCCTGGGGACACTCGATTTTATCACAGGAACCTGCAACAAGACAAAATACACTCTCTTTAAAGTAGGTAACTATAAAAATATCTTTAAAAACATAAAAAATGTTTAAAAAGTATATTAATTCAATCACTAAATTTAAAAAAAATATATTAATTTTTAGTTTGTTTTCAGTACGACAGTATCACTTGTACCCGTCAGGCGTGTATCTGGCGGGAACCTGAAAAAGATCAATCTGGAAGAAACAAGGCGAAATTTGGATAAGTGTTCGCAATACTAAAAACTCGTAATTCCGATATTCACCAAGCCTGCCAAGCCTTCAGGTTTATTTCTTCTCATGTAGAAAAATCCGGAAGATCAACGAAAATACATGAAATAATAAAAAAGAGGTGAACATAGAACAAGAACCATTATTTTAATCGCCTAGGGAATAATGCCCATTGCCTATTCAGCAAAGCAAGTTAGGCCGAAAATTAGAATAAGGATATACTTAACTAAAATAAAAACCTATAAATCTTAAGTAGTCCGGAACTTTGCCATAAACATAATAAACCACTCATCACCTATAGCTTTTAGGCACCAAGCAAAAGTAATAGCCTTGGATTAAAATAAAAACAAATCGCCACCTGAGAATTAGATTGTTCTTTCTACCAAAATTCAAAGAGGAACAAATAGCAGTTTAAAGTTTAATTTATATACAAATGAAATTTTAAAAAGCTGTTTTTCCGTGTTTAGGTTTTGGGAGATTCTATCTTTCAAAAATCTGACACGGAAAAACAGCTTTTTAAAATTTCATTTGTATATAAATTAAACTTTAAACTGCTATTTGTTCCTCTTTAAATTTTGGGAGATAGAACAATCTAATTCTCAGGTGGCGAAATGTCAAGAGCAAGAATTGATTAAAATATAAATGCAACAACTTAATTAATAGAAAATAACAGAAAACGAAATTCCTATTACACAAAACGTAGACAACGGAACGCTAGGGCTACATATTAACAAGAATTATTATAATTTCTCGTTACTTCGGTAATAAACATTAAAAACAAAAAAAAAGAGAATTTTTTTTTTAAAACTATTGATAGTTGCATTACGGACCATCGAAAACTATCGATCGAAACACACAGACTCGGACACAGATGAACAGAAAGTAATACGGGACCAGCAAGGATAGGTTGGGTTGGGTGGGGTTGGGTCATAGCAGCGTACTAACCAAAGAATGAATCCCAATTGAATGAGGGTATTACTAAATCCCTGGTCGAGGGGGATTCTGGATTATACTTAGTTTTGGGTCAGTCTTATGTCCCCCAAAAACCAAAATGTTTTTCCTCCTTATCCCGCACTCTACTAGCCAAAATCGGGCGTAAGGGCCTTAATCATCGAAACTCATCCACGACCTCCTAAAAAAGATTACCAGCTGATACTTTTGAGAACTGAAAGATGGAAAAATAATTCTTGGAGATCAGTCTAAGGCGATGCCGATGCACACTGGGAGGAATTTCAAAAATCGCGGACAAAACCCTATTTTGTAAAAATCAAGATAGTAAATTTTAAATTACGAGTTATAAAAAAAGAAAGCACAGAGATTATGATTTTAAAAGAAATATATTTTTTTATGATAAAATGCCCGCTTAAACTTGCTTAAAAAGTCACATTGTTCGTGTCGGTTTTTTAGAGCAAATTGTATGTAAGTTTTTTAAGCCCATTTTTGTTTTGCGAATTAATGAAAGGAAATGATGGTATATTTTACTACATTCCTTATCGTTGTTCTTTCATATAAAAGTCTAAAATTACAAATTTTACCATAAATACGGTTTTTATAAACCTTTTACCATCGCCTTTAAAAGTAGATAAATCTTTTACAAACCACAAGATATTTCGTTAGGTGTGCCTTGGTGTGACGCAAAGTATTTGGTACCAGAACGTTCATCAAATTTTCTTTTTTTAAAGTCAAAAGAATTAAGCTGCCTTTTTTTGCCTGTTTGGTCAGCAGAATATGAAATATGTCCATGAATTTATCATATTAGTCGAATATTTATAAGTCATCATAGTTGCCTTTTGCTAGTTCTAAAACGTCAGTTTCCAGTAAAAGTCAATCATACATACAATCTCATCGTGTTTTTGTGTTTATTAACGCTTTATAATAATATTTGGTAAGTTATAATATTAATATTATTAATATTAATAAATATTACATGTTTATTTGAATAACTTCCTTCTTTTTATGTAGAAATGCCATCAACGACTAATAAGGAGTTGTATGAACTTATTAAAAATGTTAATGACAAAGAAAAACACAACAAACTTTTAAAGTATCTAACCGAAAACCTGGATATTATTGATAAATCTTAAATTGTCCCCTGAATCCGAAAATATCGTCAAAAGTTAAAAAAGTAAAACAGTTTTTGAGATATAGTCAATTTTTCATTTAATATGGAATTGACTATATTTTAAAAACTGCTCCACTTTCATAATTTTTTATGGCATTTTCGGATTCAGGGGACAATTTTACATAAGAATTGGATGTTAAATTTTGGGATACCATTATATTCCATGGTTCCATGGTACAAGTAAAAAAGCAGCCAATAATAACTATTAAATTAGTCATTTTTGACTAATTCATTTTTAGAGACTAGGTGAAAAACGTGGATTTAACCGGTTTTGCGTCAACTTTTAAATGTTATTTTAACATCGATATAGGGTTTTTTGGACCAAGTCACTATAGTAGTCGATATAAATAAAGCAAAAGATGCGAAATTTCCAAAAAAAAAGATGTATCGAAAAAAATGTATATAAGTGATTTAGCTCGAATATTCCTTAATTGTTATTGTTTTTTTTGTTTATTTTTCTATTTTTAGCTTAGGTAATATTGCGTAATTGGAATTGGAAAATGGAGGATCGACAATACCGAACTTTTTCAAATTGTTTAAAACAAATTTGTGAATTTGTGTACATAATTAAAACATTTTATTAATATTAATATTTTAGCATAAATTTACCACCGCATAAACCTTAAAATGGCTTAAAATAATGTGTCCCTAATTTTGTCCGCGATTTTTGAAATTCCTCCCACTGTGCGATGGGGCCAGTATACGCATACTTATACTCAATATTATTTTTTAGTTTGGTAATGTAAAGTTTTAAATGTGGTTGTGATAATAAAAAAAAACATTTGTTTGCGTTTCAAATTGTTGGCATTTTTGCTGTATAGGAAAGTTCCGGTAATTACAAGTCAGGTATTTTTCGTTAATTAGTTAAAAATAATAATCCCCAGAGTCAAACTGTATTAAGTCCACTTTTATAAAATCACATTACACATTTGTTGCCTAAACTTGGTAAAGAGGATTAAGTGCTGGCTTACTTAGTTTTTTAATAAATTAATAACTAAAAAGCCATGGCAGTCCTGCAGGACTTAATACAGTTTGACTCTGAGGCACAGATATATGTATGTTTAGCATGAAGGTATTTATGTATTTTGATTTTCTGTACGATTTTTTGTGTGTGTGTTGTTATTTGCTTAATGCAAAATAGTTATTTGTATCATAAGGCTGAGAAGGGAGTCTTTTTGTGCCGAGCTCAAAGTTTAAATGCCGACGCGTAGCAAAGGCCTACAATTAAGCAAAGCACAAAAAGACACTTCAAGGCATAATTTTATTTGTCAAACAATAAAACGTACAATAATTATTATAATAATTATTAAGAGTAGAAAGTGATGTTAGATTAGATCTAACAGTAGTCGAATTTTTTAAATAGTCCAAACGGGTTGTTTACAGACTAGGAGGTAAAAATAAGACAAATTAAAACACATTTAATAATTCGAAATACGAAATAGTTGAACTTTTTCTACAAAATTTTGTCGGTGTAATGTGTAAGATTTATTTTCAAATTGTTTCAGAAAAACTTAAAATATGGACTAATGACCAGATACTTAGCTAAAGCTCTAAACTCTTCCAATTAAAAAAATGGGTAATGTCTAATACGTAGGCAGTTGGTCCTTGGTCCTTGATCTCGTACATCGTACGATCTTATAGAAATACAATTTTTGTTGTGTTTAAAGGTAAAATGACGATATTCCGTATTTGGGTACCTAGTAGGTACTACCTACCTACCTAGTTGTTTTTTTTTATTTTTGTACAATTTTTGATAAGGTTAATCAATATTAAAATAGTATTTTACTATTACTAAATGATGACTACGACAAAATTTTTTCCTTCCCATGAAAAATTCCTTTATATTTTGAAAATATACATTTTTCAGATTTTTTTTATAGTGCGTTCCAATAAAATCCACGGTATTTGGCACATAATATGAACTATTATTTAAATTTAAAATATTTTATTTTTTACACGCTTAGAAGTCACATAATATGTATATTATGTATATCATACAAAAATAAGATTTTATTTAAAAAAAAATTAAACAAAAAAAATAAACCAAATAAAAAATTAACTACGACTAACGTTTTTAATTTATTGTCATCAAAGTGGCTATGATTTAAATTAAAGAAGTGTCAAATTAATTAATCTTGTGGCGTTGTTTTATAATGGTCTCTAATTTACCCTGGTAAGGCTATTTCGAAATTCGAAAAATTGTAATAAAACAGTACCACGAAGGAAAGAGCATGGGAACTTTTGGGAAAAAATTTAAATTTGGCGAAATCCACTATAGGAAACATTATAAAATGTTTTTTAATTTGGTATTTGACTAGGTAAAAACATACCGGGTGATACATTTAAAATAAAAAAAGTTATTAACGTTTCAAGTTAGCCCAATTTGACCTGGGTTTTCTTGGGTAATTTGTTGAAATATGTTAAAGAATTGACATGGAACCTTTAAAACAACGTTTTAAGATTCCAAAAATTCCACCCCCATATCCGCAAACCTAATAGCATAAAAGTTATAGGCTATTTTTGATTTGTCAAATTTTAATCGAAAAATTAATACCGGAAGTGGCATTTTGTTCAAAGTATTTTGGAAAAATAAGCTTACTTGGACTATAAACGCTTTTAAAATTTCTAATCGATATCTTTTTCTGT